GGAATGGGACATGGGAAACTTATGCATATCAAAAATATACATCCTACAAAGAAATGCCTCTGTGAACCTGCAGACAGGGATATGTTATGAATAACCAGTCTCAGAGTGTCAACACTGAGCTGTTCCTCAGGCAAGTATTGTGGGCTGGTTGATACGGCTCTTGGTGGAGACACAGGAATAGTCTCCCAGTCTTTCCAAAGACCCTTCTGATTTTAGTAGTAGTAGTTTTGACATTTCCTTTTGTAATAAAATGATTACCTGTAGCAAGGAAATAAAATAATGTTTTTTTTTTAAGTTATGTTTAGGCTTTCAAAGCAGTGGGTCTGGGCCCAAAAAAAAGAGAAATGTTGCACGCAGCAATGTCCACTCCACTTCTATATGTGAATGAGTTAAATACAATTGTTTTTTATCAACCAAAGCCATTTAGATGCCTACAGCCAACAGTAATGAAAAAAAGTGAAGTAAATCTCTGGAGTAAAGATGCAATGACTTTATTTTTAATCGTATGAGTCAGCGTTTCATCACCTTTGCTCTTCTTCAGGATAACACCTGGGGAGGATTCTGAAAATGATGTTCCATATTGATCGGTAGAGAATGGAGATCTACACCTAAAGTCATAGATCATGTCAATGCTGATTGTCTCCCACTCTCTCTCTCTCTCTTCTTGTCTCTCATTAAATTCTTGTGGGTTTAAGTTTATTAAAACATTGACAGACAGTGAACCCTTGGTTTCCACCTACTCACATAAGTAGAGTAATCAGTGTGAGAGCTCTTTAACCCACTCATTTGTGGTCATATAGGGATCCATGTAATATAGCTAATCAAAAGGATAATCCTTTTCCTTCAGCGATGAATATGTTATCACTTTGTAGCTTCAGAAACACAGAGTTGCAGCTTGGTTCATCTTTCTTAATTCGATGATATAATGTAGCTGCACACTTTTGTTGGGGGTTGTGTGTGTCTATATATTTCAACTTGCTCCTAATGTGAAAAATGAATGCTGTGATTCACGGGGAGACTCCACTCTCCGACTCTGTATCAACTCTCAAACAAGCAGCTCTGCAGAGTGTCATCCTCCAGCTCCTTCTTTATTTCAACCGCCGCTTCTTTGATCTTCCGTTTGTTTCGCAGGATTTACACCGTGTTTCCCTTTGTGACATGGTGCGACTGTGATGTCGCTGCTCTCAGTTACAGATACACAGCAAAGTTGTTGCATTTAAAAATTGTAACTCCAAGCCACTATCAAATTGATTTTGTGTCTTCCAGTTCTCGGCATTTGATAGTGTAGAGCAGCACATGGAGCCTTTGTTTCCCTGTCAATGAATCTCATATCTCAGTAGACTGAGCAACACAGCTTTTATTCTGTGAAGCCGGAAATGAAACCCCTTCTTTCTTTAGGTTACAACAACATACAGAAGTACCTACATATACAATATTGAGTTGAATAAAAAAAAGTTTAATATTAAAAAATAATAATACATTGGCAATGTGTGTGTCAGTGTGTTTGTGTGAGTGTTTGTATAGAAGGTAAAAAATATATAGCTAGACCCAGAAATGGGGACATAAAGGTAAAAGTTGAAATAAACATATTTTTTTCTGGGGTTTTCTTGAACCAACCAGGCAACTTTCCTATTCACATACCACACAAATACACACACACACACACACTCACAGTGAGACACCAACTGTGGCTAATGATGCAGTGACAGTGATAGTACACCGACCACATGTGGTCTATTTGTCTGAGTCTGGTAGAGCACACATCAGTCTCTCAGGCTTCAACTTTGATTCATCAATCAACAACTTCTCAATACTGTGCAAATATACAGTATTGCACTACAATAATAAAGTATTAATGATAATCTAAGAAGAGTCTCTAAAACCAAATGAAGAGGTTTCCTTGTGATTCTGAGGATGTTAAAGGTTTTCCTAAATTAAGTTCATTTTGCATATTTGCATTTGCTACATATAAAAGGCTAGTTCACTGCAGTAGAAGTTGTCAGCGTAAAGTAATAATGAAGCAGGGTGTCCAAGGGTTAAATAGAATTTGAAATTGCTTTTTTAAAAGAACATCATCACGTTTGTCCTCAGCACTTATGTTGACTGACAGTAGGTAAATTGAGGCAGGAAGGAGGAATAAGTGAATATGGAAAACAAATCAAATAACGCATTAAAAAAAGTAACAACAGCAAATTATTGGTTAATAATTGTGTTTATTACATTTTTATTTACCGTATTTTTAAAATGGTCATAATTTTAGATCTGCTGCTGCAAAGTGATATTTCAGCGCACAAACATAGACGTACACAGACACACGTAACATTTTCTTTCTGAACAACAGTAAAAGGTCAGAGAATGTCTGACTGGAGATTGAGAGTTCAGACTTACAGTAAACTCTCACAAATATCTACGGATATCGCAGGGAAAAACATAACTGCAGGAGGAAAGTGACAGCTGTGCTTTAGCAGGCAGTAAACCCAACAATAACACAGTGTTTTTTCTATTCTACATCTCAGATTTCCATTTCCTAATGTGAGGGGAGGAGGAAATTGAACAACGTGGCTCCAACATTTATGTGTCTGCCATAAAGCCGGGACATGTTGAATTTATGAAGGTGTGGACCAGTTAATACGGCACTCAGGAAATGTGATTAGGCTCATAAACAGGACAGTTCCCCGCTGCCTTACCCTTCAACTAAAGTATCTTGTGAAAGCATATGTTTTAGGCATTTTTCTCTCTGACACCCTGACACCCTTTTTATTGGTGGATCTGCTGTAGATCTGCTGTAGGAAGATTAACAGCTGTGTGTGACCGGTTTGATTTGCTGTGTCGACATCTTCCTCTAGCTTTAATTATTCAGACAGGAAACTTACATTGCTGAACATGACGGCTTTGTCCGAGTGGTGATATGAATATTTATCTCTTCTTGATACTATAATATTTGTTGATGACGCTCTTACACTGAGAAACATTGATGTTGAGACACAAATAATCCTCGTTATATATTACCATATTTCCCAAACTATTATTGAACTTTTTTATTTTGGCTGGTCCCACAACATTTATTCCGAAGCAAATAATATTTATAATTTTGTATTTCATATGCAGAGAGTGGATTATGGTTTAAAACGTGTACTCATCCACATAATAACATCAGAGCCATTAGAGGAGCTGCAGTCGATCCATTACATGGCCAGACATGTATATACAAAAAATATATAAACCCTATTAAAAAACACACCACTACTGCTGCACAATGAAGGTCTGGCTTTTAGACGATTTAAGTTGATTGATATTGGGACAAACCCATAAACACAGGATTTAAAAATGTGATGATGAGTTAATTTATGATGAATACACAAAGAACAATTTAATTTTTACAGGATAACTAAGTTTATTTTAAGCCACCCTTTTCTAACTAAACGACTTTCTGCCATGATGACAGTTCCACAAATCATATCTGTGTGAAGCTGCTGCAAAACTGTTTAGACAAACACTTAAAAAAAGTCCATCATCATTGATTTTTTTCCTTTTCTGTTTGTCTCAGCTTTTGCTGTCAGAGTGAATTACTTATGAAAACAAGATCACAGCGATGATTCAAATTTTTCACTCAGCTGGCAGAATCTCTCTTAGTTTCACCAAGTGGAGGCTGTTAAATAAACATGTTTTGGAGTTAATTTGTTTTGGACTTATGGCAGGAGAAAACCTTTTCACTGCACAGTCAGATTAGAAGTGTACTGTGGCATTTTAATGGTTTGTGTTATTAGCAAATCTCATTATTAGTGTATGAACTTCTGTTAAATGTAAAATGACGATTGACCTTGTTCAACACTGTGTTCCAGGTGGAATGGCTTAAAAATGAAGAGATCATTGACCCAGTGGAGGACAGAAACTTTTACATCACCATCGACCACCACCTGATCATCAAGCAGGCCCGTCTGTCCGACACAGCCAACTACACCTGTGTGGCCAAGAACATAGTGGCCAAAAGGAGAAGCACCACAGCCACTGTTATTGTTTACGGTTAGTTCACTTGGTCTGTTCACTCTAATCCTTATGACATGGTAGTATTCCTCTGGAGTCTTTATGCAAACGTTCAGGAACTAGTATTCTAATATTGTTTTAAACGTAAACAGCAGTTACACAAAAGTGTTTGTAATCATCCAAGCTGGCCCCCATTTACATGAATTTAGCTGCGGTGCAGCGCTAACACACTCTTTGTGATTGGCCTCATTTCCCAAATCCCCCTGACCCTTGCACAATTAACACTCAACCAATCACCACTCTTCGTTTTTAAAACATTCTGCCTCTCCAAACATTTGCACTTTGGGCCACAACCAATTGAGTAGTCAGACATATTGTCCCTTTTTTGTGGGGGGGCAAAAAACAATTTCACTTTGTCTTTGTTTGTTGTCGGACCAAAAAGAGGTATACAGAACCATTTTACAGGAAAAACAGCACAGCAGAAAAACATACACATGGCACAACCAGCAGCATTCCTCTCAGTCACAGGACTAGCTTGATTCAGTGGGAGAAGTGTTTCAATCAAAAATAACACTGCATGTGTACGTGTACGTGTTCGATTCGGGCAGTGAGAGATGAAGTTTTGACACTGATGTATCTGTACAGAAATAGATTGTTCAATCTTTCCCACTGCAAAAGAGCCAGGCTGACACTGTTGACAAGGTGAGATAGTGTTGGAAAAAACAGAGGAACTTATGGAGGGGGGGCAGCTATAGATGGAATGCCAACAGGTGTAGAGAATCAAAGGCAGACAAGAATGGAGGGAGAGAAGCAAAAATGTGAGGAGGAAATTCTGAGAAAGTGTGACAAGAAGGAACTGCGCCTGACTTTCCTGGTTACTTTTTCCCAGATGACTCATTCCTAAATGGGCACTGTCCACGGTGCTGAAACAGAGATGCTGAGAGCCAGCCAAAGAATTACAGCCCACCTTTACAGATGACAACCTCTCTCTCTCTCTCTCTCTCTCTCTCCTTCTCTACCAATGTCCTTGTGAGTCATTCCAACATTATACCCGATTTCTCCCTATTTTTTGGTCTCATCTCCCCTCTTTATCCCCTTCACTAATGCTTTTTTTCACTATGAAAATAATACAAAATAATGAACTAACAGCACTGGGACTGGACACCATACGATACCTGTGCATTTGCAGAAGAACAAGTGGGTGAAAGAATAATCAAAGAGAGGAGAAAGGCTGGACTGTCAACCTTTTTGCCTAAGAATTCTAAAATTATGTTTTTTTTCCCAGAAGGACAATTTCCAATTGTCCAACTACTGTGTGTGTGTCACTGTCTCATCTATGTGTGAATATGTTCATAATGGGGACAGTTGAACCAGTCTGTGTTGTAGGTGCGACTGTTCTCACTACAATTTAACAATCCAGCCTCTTGGCATTTTTAAAACATATACTGACTCCCTGAAGAAAAACTGTTCACATAAATCATGCAACACATTAAATTTGCATGCCTCCATTTAGTTTGATGCCTCTCTTACAAGCTTTTAAAATGCCACAGCGTTCTCCAGCTGTTTAACCTCACTGACATGAAAAAGTATGGCACCGAAAGTCCAAAGGCATTAACATAAATATGTATGATATAGCATTTTGTTAACTTCAGCTGAAAACACTTTATCAGCTCCCAAGGCAGCAGTCGGTGTTGATCTGAATTAAGGAAATTGCTTACACAGACTTTAATGGTCATGTAGGGGAAGGGAACAGAGGAGATGAGGAAGTGATGGCAGGTTTGGTGTTAGGGAGAAAAACTTGGAAGAACAGGCAGTGGTAGATTTTGCAAAGAGAATGGAAATGGCTGTGGTAAACACCTATTTCCAAAAGAAAGAGGAACACAGGCTGACTTAAAAGAGTGGAGGCAGGTCCACACAGATACAGTAGACTATATTCTATGTAGAAGAGGTAATCTGAGGGAGATTAGAGACTGTAAGGTGGTGGCATGTGAGAGTGTAGCCAAACAACATCGCATGGTAGTGTGCAAAATGACGATGGAGGTGACAAAAAGGAAGAGAGTGAAGACAGAGCAGAAGATCAAGTGGTGGAAACTAAGGAAAGAGAAATGTTGTGAAGACTTCAGGAGGGAAGTAAGGGCAGTTCTGGGCCGTGTTGAGGAATTCCCAGATGATTGGGAGACTACAGCTGCAGTGATTAGGGAGACAGGTAGGAA